GTGATTGGGGAAACACTGCTTCCAGGCTTCGTCGATCTTGTGGCAGAACGAAAAGGGGATGCTTCTTATGGCGGGACAACATATATGCTGTCACTTGGAAGGTCAGCGCGGTTGGATGACACAAGGGACTCTCCTGAATATGTTGTGGTGGCAGAGACAACCACAGGCGATGACGGGATCGCCCGGATTCGTTCCTATGCATCTGTTACAGAAGATGCTCTTCGTCGTGTCGCCATCGAGAAGGAAGTCGTTTTCACCGTGCCCAGCCGTGGGCACGAGGTTCGGGCAAAACGTTCCTTGACCGTAGGATCGCTGGAGCTTTCTTCTACTCCGTTGCCAGCTCCGACCGCCGAGGCAAGATCCGAAATTCTCTTGGAAACAATTCGCCAACTGGGAGGGGTGTCGACGGCGTTACTGCAGAACATTCCAAGAGATAAACGAACAGAGATCGAAGAGCTTCGAGAGCGTGTTCGTCTTGCAGTATCGCTTGACAGTGGATCAGATTGGCCGCTCTGCTTTGCTGCCTTGGACGCGATTGAAAAGGGAGAGGGGAAACCCAGTGATATCAACCAATTGGAGGAGCTAGTTGAGCCTTGGTTGAGTTCGGCGGAGTCTCTCAAGAGCCTCAACCTATTTAAAATCTTGGCAGGATCGCTTACACCAGACCAAATCGTTTCACTTGATCAAGACTACCCAGCAAAGATCGCAGCACCTGACGGAACACGCATTCCTGTGCATTACTCAAATGGGATACCCACAGCGTCGGCCAAATTGCAACAGTTCTTTGGGCAGACTGAATCGCCCTGTATTGGGCCTCGCAACAATCGAATTCCTGTGTCTTTGTCTTTGCTCTCCCCAGCTGGAAAAGAGCTCGCGAAAACAAAGAATCTCCCATTCTTTTGGAAAGAAACGTATCCATCCGTGAGGGCCGAAATGAGAGGTCGATATGCCAAGCATCCCTGGCCTGAGAATCCTATGGAAGCCATCCCTACTCGTCAAACAAAAAAGCAACAAGCTTCGGTTGCCAACGGCGCTGCAGAGCCAACGACGGCCAAGAAGAAAAGGGGTGGAAAGCGGCGTCGTTGAAAGGGAGATACCGACTCGACTCAGAAGTTGAGAATAGTACGTGTCTTTCATGGGGGTTACATGGTACGTGCCCACTGTCGAGTGAACTAGACTGGCGGCCTTTTGTTCTCGGCCTGGTTGCTGCAACCCAACCGTTCCTCGGGGGAGCCACAGATGGGAATGAGGCAGGGCGCAAAGCAACGGGACCGGTACCGTCTAATATGGACTGTACCTACCGGTACCGGTACTATTGCTACGTTGTGTTTGGTGCCGGAACCTGTAATGCATCGATACACTCTGGCGAGAAATCGTTACGATGGTTACAAACGTTCGGTAACACTAGTCACCGACCTGGTACGATGGTTACAATGTTCGGCACTAGTCAAACAAAGAAGTACTACCGGTATATTGTATTTGGGTCGGAGAGGGTCGAATCATTACATCCGCGAAGTTTGCGTTGGTTGACTACTGTAGCTAGAGATTGCAGGGCATCGCTCCACTGGTCAAGTTCTCGAATCGCTCACTGATTTTACCACACGACGTCTTGCGGCCCTTCATCTTGCCCATCGACATTTCTTCTCGTGGCAATGACTCGTTGCTTCGGTCCAGAACCTCCGGAATATTTGTTGGATCGTCTAAATAGTATTGAATCGACTCTACTGCCTCCTTGCTGATTCGACTTGCATATTGTAGAATGCTCTTCACCTGGAATGACTGCCGTGAACTTTCCAAAACTGCTCGAATGCGTGGCGCCAGGTTTGGTTCCCTTGTGCGAAATCCGCTGCTGTCTTCATCCAAAAACGCGGAAGATATCACGGCAGCAGCTAATTTCTCACGAGCATCCGCTGCGAGTGTAATGGCAGTCGCTAGGCGCGGGTGGGTAGGCAGTTGAACAAGTGATCGCCCTAGCTCTGTAAAGCTGTATCGATCATCATCCGTTTCCTCCAGTGCCTTCAAGGCAATCAGCGTATCATACGCTCTCTTCAATGCGGGGCCTTCGGGTGCATCCACAAACACCACCTCATCGTAGATTTCGGCCGGACTCAGGCAACCCCAATCCGAAAGGAACAGTAGTGTTGGCACCAGGTCCGTACTCATAATCTCGGGTGGCGAGTGATCTGCGAATTGATTTTCAAACTCGGATTCAGCGTATATTCGAAGACAAAGCCCTTCTTGAGTCCGTCCTGCTCGACCTGCTCGTTGCCGTGCGGATGCTTTGGAACAGCGGGTTGTCACCAAGCGTGGCATCCCCGTGTCGGTATCACACCGTGGTTCCCGTCTTAGCCCAGAATCTACGACGCAAGTGACTCGCTCCAGCGTTAAGGATGCTTCTGCAATGGGGCTAGACACAATCACGCGCCTTTTCGAAGCAAAGGAGGCATATAGCGCGTAGTCCTGCTTGTCTTTGGGCAAACTCCCGTAAAGTGGGAGCACCTCCGCGTCGACGCGGCGTGATGTGAGATCTTCTACAACCCGCTCAATTTCGCGAGCCCCTGGTAGAAATACAAGGATATCTCCCTTGTTGGGAGCGAGATGAAGTGCCTCTTCAATAGCTTGACACATTGTGGACACCAAATCATTGCGGCTTTTCATGAGCAGCGCCAATGGTGCGTATCCTTTTCGGGCCCATTCCACTTTGATAGGGTACTGCCTTCCCTTACTGATGAGAACTTTGCAGTTTTCGCGTCCACCCAAGGCTCTGACCAGTTTGTCTTTTGCATCGCTATTATCGTCATCAAACAACGTTGCTGACATGACAACCAACCGAAGATCTGGGCGAAGAGATCGCTGGATTTCCACTGCAAGAGCCAAGGCAGTATCAGACCCAACTCCTCGTTCATGAAACTCGTCAAAGATGATAGACCGAATACCCGCCAGTGATGGGTCTTGACGCATTCGATTCAACAGTACCCCGTCCGTGATCACAATCACTTGTGTACCTTTGGAAAGCTTGGCTTCTCCGCGAAAGGCGTATCCCACCGTTTGCCCTGTGGATTGTTGGAGAATAGAAGCCATTCGCTGGGCAGCAGATCGTGTGGCAACTCGTCTTGGTTCCACCACGATAATTTGTGGCAGTTCGTCTTCCGTCGTATCCCATTGGGAGGCTGCCGCCAACAGGTCCAGTGGCAAAACGGTAGTTTTGCCGGCTCCTGGAGGTGCTTGCAGCAACAGATTCTGTGGATCTTTCAGGCTTTCCCGCGCTTGTCTCAAAACATCAAAAATGGGAAGTTGGCTTTGAGATCGTAGAGCATCCAGGGCGGCATCAATGTGCCATGGCGGTAATGATGAATGCGTTGTGTGGACTGGGCGACTCGATGGCAGCTGCTGTAACCGTGAAAATGGTAGCACACTGGAGAACCCTGAACACACAGATGCATGCAAAAGGAGCTGGATTATCCACAGATTAGAAATGATTAAATGGCAGGACTGTCTTCTTGGAGTGTTCATGGTAGTGGTTGTATGAAAAATGAAGTGCGTGGGAATTGGAGCGACTGTTGATGTCTTGTCTGGATGATACCCTTCTTACAGCTGGAAATATATCAGCCCGCCACCCATACAACCAGCCAAAACGAGACTATCCAAGCCCTGCTATAGCGATAGCTAGCTAGAATGATGGTGTATGGTGTCGTCTGGAACCCAACAAGAGCAAACTGCAGAAGCGCAGACTGCCATCATGGCCGTGGGAGAATTTTTGATGGATGGGAGTATCTTCTTTGGGTTAGGGTTTGGCAGCGCATGTTTTTCCATCACAGCCCAGCTCGACAACTCAACAGCAACCACTATCATTTATTTTGCCACAACCTTTCTTGTTGTTGTTTCTATCGAGGCATCTATCAATTCCAAATCCACCAAATAGAATGACAGCCGATGATATAATTCGAGTAGCAGTGACGGTCTCGTTGGTGCAGGTTGGCTGTGATCTGCTGGCGCGCTACATGATCTTCCAAAAAGAGCCCTACCAACGTGCCGTTAGTACACTGGAACGACGCAAAGCGCAATACGACAAACTCGTCAAGGAATTCGAAGGCAAGACGGGCAAGCAGCAAGAAAAAGTAAAAAAGCGAATGGACCGAGCCAAGGATGATTTGGGAGAAGCCAAAAGTGCCGTCGCAGCCAAACATACCACTCCCGGAATGTTGACATCGATTGCCTTTGTCTTGCTCTTTCGCATATTGGGAACCGAACATTCGGGAAAAGTCATGGCGGTCCTACCCTTTCAACCGCTCTCTTTGATGAGAAAAGTTACCTTGCGAGGACTCGATTTTGGAGGCGATATGGGCTTTAACATTTTCAAAGAGAGCCCGGGTGTCCAATCGGTCCATCAAGCATGTTCCCTCATGTTCATCTACCTTTTGTGCAACATGGGAGTCAAATTCTATGTCCATCGGTTGGTAGGACAACAAACTCCGGAAGGAGTCGGAGGAATCATGGCACTGGCGGAAAACCCAAAAATTGCCAAGGGATTGAAGGAAATGGGGCTCGACCCCGATGAGCTAAAGCAAGATTGAATTCGATTCGATTCGTTAAGATATAACTATTTACTTGCAATTCACAAACGCAGGTAGCCAGCAAACTGCAATCCACAGGTCTCTCTCTCTCCCTCATTCGCGAGGAAAATACAGTCCGTATTCTCTCATCATTGATTTAGATGTCACGTTGTTTCCAACGGAAAAGCTGCACCTTCGCATCTTTTCGCATGCTGTCAATTACGTGCGAGGCGCCACCAAAACTGTTCTCTAACTAGCAACATGTACTAGCAGCAAAGGTTCCGTTGCATGGACACCGTCGCAGCCGTATTGATTTACTTCGCCCAGGAGTTCTTTTCACAGGGCTTTCGGGGTCCTTGGCATTGAGCCTCCATGGCTCGTCATCACTCCAGTCAACCAGGAACGGTCCGATTCCAATCGACCACTTGTCTACTAGTACCAGTAGGCCAATCAATGGGTCTTCTGATGATATGGGCGTTTCCGGATAAGGAAACCTTCACGAACTTTCCAAGCACTCTAAAAAACAGCCAACCCCTCCGTGTCATCGATCCACAACTCGCTGGCTGCTGGTACCGGTAGCCAGGAAATGTCGGTGTCATCTCAAGTTACCTTCGAACCAGTCACGCATGGTTGACGGGGATAGCACAACGCACGAACATTACAAGAGAAGCGATCCAAAGAAGCAAACATTCCGTCAGATTCAGGCGCAGTCAAGCTCCCTTTTTTTAAACACGCTGTAACTGGACGCTCGGCTGTATGACGTACTATTGTTAATAGTAGATGCGGGTTGCGACTTGAGGGGCTTGCGGTTGGAAGAGCTCCCGGATTGAGAGGCCCCGCTCAACTGTTGGGTGCTACCAGGCGAACGCTGGTAAGAGGACAAGTTGTTCAGTAAAGTTCGACAAGTGATCAACATGACCGTCTGGAACCAACGTTACATGTACATCAAGTAAATGATGATTCCTTTCCCGCTGATTCTGGCTCAAATTCGGGTCTGCAGTCCTACTTGACCTGCGCTTTCAATGCTCCTGGCACATACACCGTTGCTGTGGGTACATGTTGTGGTCATCCCCATCAATCAACAACGAATTATGTTCCAAATGGTGCTGTCTACAACTTGCACATTTCCCTGGGTTACCGGAATTCGGAAGCACAGCTTTGAGCTGCAGATGGAATGGGTTTCAAGGTACGCACCAGCAAGCCACAATCAGCACAGATGATTAAAGTGTGTGGACTGACCAAGCGTTCTAACCGCCCTCGCTGTGATATAGTGAAGGATTCAGAGATCCTCAACAATCTGGAAGGTCAGCATGCTTCCAACCCTGACAGCAGTGGTGCTGCCTCAACTGATGGAGTTTGAATTATGAAGCAACAACAGTTGAGAATAGGAATAGGATAGAGTAACTTTAAGCTCACAATGTAGCACTCAAACCCTCACGCTTCCTCTGCGCATTATGCTACATGCTTCGAGCAGCTCGTTGGTCATACTCACATCGTTTTAGTATTGACAAAGAGCACCTCGTTAGCTCAGGTCTGTCGACCACCAAGCTCTCAAATCTATAGATCAAAGAGAGATCACAACTTCTTTCAACGACTTGAAAGAAACCAACAAAGATTTCAACCTCCAGCTCTGAAGATCAAGGGCAGCTTCCTGGTACCAGGGCAACAAGAGCAGCAAGAAGAGCGGAACAAGCAGAAGAAATCAGCAGGCAGTTGCAAAGGACAAGAGACCGTTTGCAAAGAAGAAAAGAAAGACAACAAGCAAGGATACCAACCATGGATGCAGCTCAAATCCAAACAATCGTGGAGGCTGCAGTCGCAGCAGCACTGCATTTTCTGCGTCAGATCTGGCAGAGAGCTGAATCGTTCGGATGGGTGTCTATCCTGCTAGTCGCAGATGCCAATGGCACGGTCAGGAACATCACCAACCAACACGGATGTTTGACAAAGAGCAACGTCAGGAACCACGCAGTCACGTACCTTAGACAGCAAGGAAGAAAGCATCAAGCATCAGTTTGCCTTCGCAAGCTCATCATGGGATCAATCACTTCGCGAATGGCCGATAGACTGATCACCAGAAGAATCGACTATACAGTCAATGCGGCACCAGCAGCAGCACAACCGGACGCCGCACCTCCTGCCCCAATCATGAAGGAAGATGGCACTTGTATGCTCTTCCAGTTGATCAGGATGGTTTCGGTAGAGACCATGACCACAATCGCTATCATCACCAAGAAGCTCAACAACTTGGAGCACATCATGGAGACAGCCAAGTCCAACGTCGAGCTCTTCAACACCATGGTCGAGGACTTGATCACCCAGTTGCAAGCCAGGAGCGCTCAGGTCCCTCCAATGATAGCCAACCTGTTCGATGGATATGCTAACTGCACCGACTCAGCATTTGTCAAGTATATGGAGACCAAGAGAGACTCGTACGAAGATGGAACACTCCTGTTGGACAACCATGGCAGCATCATGATCATCGCTCTTGAGAAGTACAAGATCATGGTTGACAGGAAGATTTGGCTCAGGAAGTCCGAGGAACAAATGGAGATCATGACTCTCAAGGCTGAGGTCACGAAGCTCCGTGGAAAGCCAAACTCCAAGCCAACGTCATCCAAGAAGCCACCAAGTAAAGGCAAGAAGGGAAAGGACGACGACAAGTTTGCCTGGAAGCTGGTATCACCAAAGGAAGGAGATCCTCAGCAGAAGACTGTCAACGGAAAGAAGTACATCTACTGCCCATACCACCAGACAACCAAGTGGGTCCTGGAGGTGAACAACAAAGGAGTGGTGCATCGCACTGGATGTGAGAAGATGAAGGAGGCGCTCACCTCGAACAAGGCAACCGAGGGAACCGATGACAAGACATCCGAGGCAGCAGCACTTACCAACGCCATTGAGGACGCAGGAACCAACACCCTGCTCCCCATCATCGAGGACGAAGAGCTTTGATGGTGTCGGAGTGGAGGATTCCTGTTCAGTCAATTAGTAGCCTATTGTAATCACTATAGTGACCAACTTTCTGTTACCATTGCTTTTCAGCCTCTACTCCTGGCCATCAGATTAGCTTGCCTCCTAGCCACGATGTCTCAGTGGAAGGATCGATTCGCACAGGCATGGATCAGGGCAGAAAAGGTCCTCGATGACGCAGCCGAGGAATGCCATCTGGCTCAGATGATGTCAGTACTGGCACTGTCGAATGTCTTCGAGGTCGTCAGCTGGTTTGCGGAATTCTGCCAGCAGCCAATGTCCTTTCCAGTTCTCCTGCTGTTGTTTGGAGAACCAATTCACCTATTGGTGAGTGTCCTTGCTTTGGTGACGGCAACAATCATTGACTTAGCGTGCTGCTATGTCGTGGCTGGCACCGAGTTCGGAGCAGCCGCATTCACGTATGGTGTGACAATGAGCTCTCTGCTCTCGTGGGGACTGAAGCCACCGGAACTGCCCCAGTACGTACCAAAGCGACTGAGGAGAAAGCAACCGTTCCTGTTGAGAACCGCCAAGGCGTCAATGGACGCGATGCTATGCTTATCAGCGAGAGTAGCAGGAACTGTGCTGCTCATTATTCAACTGACTCACCTGTCGATCCATGAGTCAGCAGGCACACCAACCGAGAAGCAAAGAAGCAAAGAAGCTCATCGACGGACGAGCCCTTCTTGGATCAAGACGAAGAATCAGAAGAACCATACGCCAGCATGTGCGAGAAGTACAAGAGGGCATGTCAGCCCACAATGTTATGGGACCTGAAGGTCGCTGACCAAGACCACAAGCCAACAGCCTTCGAGATGTTCATCAGGTTCCTGCTGGTCCTCAAGGGAGGACTCGACCTGATCGGAGAGGAAAGCAACCCGCTGGTTGCATGGCAACTGATCATGTACTCCTTGTCCGGAGACATGAATCGCAACTCAGAGGATCACCAGTATGACGCTGACTCAGTCCTGATAGCCATCGACAATTGCTCCTCGAGATGCATCACCAATTCGATGAAGGACTTCATCGAAGACCCAGTGCGAGTCAATGTGAAGGTGCAAGGGATTGGAGGATCAGTCACGGCGACATACAGAGGGACAGTGCCCTGGTCCATCGAGGATGACAATGGCAGAGTCCATCACTTCGTGATTCCTCACACCTACTACAATCCTTCGACGCCATACAGGCTCTTGTCACCACAGCATTGGGCGAGAGTGGCGAGTGACAATTCACCAAACAAAAGGGGCACCTGGTGTGCGACCTATGAAGACGCAGTGGAGCTATTCTGGAGCCAGAGACAGTTCAAGAGAGTCATTCCACTGTCGGCAAGCAACAACATAGCCCTGGTTCGAAGTGCACCCTCATTCTCCAAGCTGCACTCGTTTTGCATGGAGATTGCACCGGCGCTGGAAGGGAACTGCTCAGTCGACGAAACAGAGTTGTTGTCTTGTCCAGCGGCATCTATCACAGACGATGATGGGTCCGTGACGTCCCTCGAGTCAGATGATGACTCAGATGAGGACTCAGTTAGGCTGCACCCTGATCTGCCAAGCAACGTGCAGGATCACGGAGAGAGATCGGAGCATTTTCAGAAGACGGTCACGGATGCTTTCCGGATGGGACGCGACCTGAACCAGATAGCTCAGACCCCCGTAGTCGATCATGACTACACTGAGTACATGAGCGGTGGTACCGACCTGTTAGCGTGGCACTACCGACTGGGACACATCTCCTTTGACAGAATCAGGAAGCTCGCACAAAGAGGAGCACTCCCGTCGTCACTGATAAAGGCCAGAGCACCCAAATGTGCCAGCTGCATGTTTGGAAAGGCCACGAAGAGACCTTGGAGGACCCGAACTCCAGTCAACCAGAACACGGACATGGTGCCCAACGCAACTGCTCCAGGTTTCGTGGTTGGAGTGGACCAGCTGATCTCATCGACCCCTGGACTCATCGGACAGATGCGAGGACTGCTGACAAGAAAGCGATACAGCGTCAGCACAGTCTTCGTCGGTCACTACAGTGGACTGTCCTACGTCCATTTTCAGATGTCCACCTCGGCAGAACACACCATCCAGGCAAAGAGGGCGTTCGAGAGATATGCCAGCACATTTGGGGTGACCATCAAGCACTACCACGGAGACAACGGCATCTTCGAAAGCAGGGCGTTCGTTGAGGAAGTGCACAAGTGCGGGCAGACCATCACGTATGCCGCTGTGAACGCCCACCACATGAATGGCAGGGCCGAAAAGAAAATCAGGGATCTGCAGGAAGCAGCCAGAACGATGATCTTGCATGCCAAACAGCGATGGCCAGGAGCAATTACTGCTCATCTATGGCCGTATGCAGTGAGATATGCCAACGACATCTCGATATCGACACCCATTCTGAAAGGGCAAGACCATGTATCCCCCCTGGAGCTGTTCTCGGGAGTGGACGTCAAGCCCAAGGTCAAGAACGCACACACATTCGGATCACCGGTGTATGTGCTGGATGACAGAGCACAACAAGGGAAATCCATTCCCAAGTGGGAGCACAAGGCTAGGATCGGCGTGTATTTGGGACTATCACCAAGACACTCAAGGAAGATCGCATTGGTCCTCAGTCTGAAGACGGGGCTGGTATCGCCACAGTTCCACTGCCAGTTTGATGACTTCTGCGACACTCTTCGCAAGTCCAATGGCAACACAATGCCACGGTCTAGATGGCAGGAGAAAGCAGGTTTCGTCGAGAATGAAGAGGAAACGCCGTTCGACGCCCACCATCGTGAGTCCGTCGAAACTGATCAAGTTGCGAGGCAGAATCCATCCGCGACTCAGGGAGAATCCAATCGCGGCACGACAAACAGGGACTCAACGCATGAACCTCCAGCACTAAGAGCCGAGGACATATTGAGAGAAGATTTCGGAATAGACGCCAATGACAATGACGGTCAAGGATATCAACAGGAGGAACGGCAGCCGCAAGGGCAGCAGCGTCAACAACAACAGGGCGACCAAACGCCAGGTATTCAGGGCGATCGAACGACCAGGCTAGGACGCAGGATCAGACTACCCGAAAGATTGCGAAATGATTATGAAGTGTCCATGGCAGCAGTTCCATGGGAGGTCTTCCACGATGAAGGGTACCAAGTGCAGGACGACATGCAGGACCCGATCGCTTTTGCTGGGGCATCCGCCAACCCAGACATCATGTACATTGATGGGGCGATGGAAGCAGAAGACTCAAAGCAGTTCAGAGAGGCCATGGTCAAGGAAGTCGACTCCCACAGCGACTGCAATCATTGGAAGATTGTCAAGAGGTCGGTGATACCAAAAGGGACGAAGTTGTTGCCAGCTGTATGGGCGTTCAGAAGAAAGAGGAGGATCTCCACTCAAGAGATCTACAAGTGGAAGGCCAGACTCAATGTTCACGGAGGAAAGCAGACAAAGTTCGTCAACTATTGGGAGACATATGCTCCAGTCGTAGGATGGACAACAATCCGCACGTTCTTGATCCTCATGTTGGTGAACAGATGGAAGTCGAGGCAAGTCGACTTTGTCTTGGCGTTCCCACAGGCAGACATCGAATGCGAGATGTACATGGAGATCCCTCAAGGGTTCAGTGTTGAGCACACCACGGGGCAACCCAGGCTCAAGCAGACCAGTGACAAGAGACGATATCACGGAGAGCATTGTTTGCTTTTGGAAAAGAACCTTTACGGTCAAAAACAGGCTGGAAGAGTTTGGAATCAGTACATGCACGACGGACTGATCGCTCGAGGATTCACCCAGAGTTCCGTGGATATGTGTCTCTACTACAAGGGCGCTGTCATACTACTGGTCTACGTGGACGATGGAATTTTCATTGCACCAACAAACGAAGAAATCGAAGAAGTGTACAGCTCACTCTTGAAGCCCTTCGTGGACGATGACGGAAGGACATTCAGAGCCTTCAACATGACGAATGAAGGAAACCTGTCTGACTATCTTGGAGTTAAGATAGAGGAGCTCCCAAACGGCCTGATCAAGCTATCACAACCGCACATGATAAAGCAGATATTGCGAGACATGGGGTATGATGAAAAGACCAAAGCTCAAAAGACTCCAGCTCTGTCAACGGTCAGGCTCCATCGAGATGTGGCTGGTGAGGAGTTCAACGAGGAGTGGCAGTACAGGAGCATTATAGGGAAGCTCAACTTCCTGGAGAAGTCAACAAGGCCGGACTTGGCATACGCAGTACACCAGTGTGCTCGGTTCGCGTCAGACCCAAAGCAGTCGCACGCAACAGCCGTGAAACGCATTGCAAGGTATTTGGTGGGGACTTCGGAAAAGGGCATCATCCTCAATCCACAGAGCTGTTCCTTCGACGTGTTCGTCGATGCAGACTTTGTGGGGAACTGGAACAGAGCAACAGCAGATGTTGATCCAGGCACAGCAAGATCGAGAACAGGTTTTGTGATTCTGTACGCAGGATGCCCGGTGACATGGGGATCCAAGCTACAGAGGGAAGTCGCTCTATCGACTACTGAGGCAGAATACAATGCCTTATCGGAAGCGCTTAGGGACACGATCTACCTAATGCAGCTGACGAAGGAGGCATCAGAGCGACTGAAGTGGAAAGCACACGACAAACCGCCAGTGGTTCACTGCAAGGTGTTCGAGGACAACAGCGGAGCCTTGGAAATGGCATTGGAGCCAAAGATGAGGCCACGAACGAAACACATCTGTGTGAAGATGCATCACTTTCGTGATCATGTTCGAGATAAGAAGATAACAATCCACAAAATACCCAGTAGGTATCAATTGGGAGACATGGCAACAAAGCCACAACCGTTGGCACTGTTCGAGTCACAAAGAGAAAGCATCTTGCAATGGGATGCCGAGACGATGACAGCAGCACAACTACTGCAGCCTGCAAAGCATCTGAGGGCGTGTGATATAGTGAGGGATTCAGAGATCTCAACAACCTGGAAGGTCAGCATGCTTCCAACCCTGACAGCAGTGGTGCTGCCTCAACTGATGGAGTTTGAATTATGAAGCAACAACAGTTGAGAATAGGAATAGGATAGAGTAACTTTAAGCTCACAATGTAGCACTCAAACCCTCAGAGGACCAGATTCCCGTGTAGTCTTCAATATGCCGGCCGTGCACAAGTCTGGCAAGTCCTTGGACTTTGGTTGGATATCCCTCCTGGCAGCTTATTTGGTCCGTAAACAAGGAGATCCCTTCCTCCTGGGAATGAATCCAGATAAAATGAACGAGTTCTTTACGGATTCAAAATGGACCCTGCGAGGTGACGTCCAGTCCTATGGTCGAATGCGAGTGGCCACAGTGCAGTTAAAATAATACTATTCGAGCTTTTCCTTTCCATAAAGATAAGGATCATTGTGGGAACTCTCATCATCAGCTACCGCACTTGTGTATGTTTCTTGCTATAAAATTACGAAATGTATCCAAACAGTTCCGCACATTGATTCGAATCTCCTTTGCTGTGCCATGAATCACATGTCTTCAAAACAACTCTAGTCCATGCAGCTTTCTACTCCACATCAGGCACCCCACAGCGCATATTGGCAGGGACAGCCACGTCGATCTTCTTGGGGTAAGAGAGATTCAGATTCTTCATAATCTCCACAAAGTCTGACTCTGTCTTTCCCTCACCCAACCGTGGATTGGTTTTCTTCTCATCACCCAATTTGGCGGATGTACGTCCCTTGTAGTCATGGGCAGGATACACGATGGTTTCGTCTGGCAATGTAAAGAGCTGGGAGTGGACGGAATTGTAGAGTTTTTCTGCAGAACCACCTTGAAAGTCAGTACGCCCACAACCTTGAATCAACAGGGTATCTCCCGTCAAGACAAAGGACTCGTCGTCTGCAACATACGACAGGCATCCCTCAGTATGACCAGGAGTGGCTCGTACCGAGATGCTGCGAGATCCAAACACAATCTTGTCTCCAGGTCCAATTTTGATGTCGGCCTTGGCACCCGATGCATCGCTAATGACAGATTGAAAACCATCAATTTTGGTTTTGAGCAGGCCAGTGCCTGTGATGTGATCTGCGTGTGCATGAGTGTTGACACCATAAACCAAATTTAAACCCAAAGATTCAATCTCCTTCAAGTCACGGTCCACTTGGATATCAACAGGGTCTACGATAATGGCATCCTTCGTGGAAGGATCCCACAGCAGATACGTGTAGGTAGAAGAATCGTCATCAAACAACTGTTTGAACCCCATGGCTTCTCCTGCTTTGACAATAGATCCTTTTCCGGCGGTCATGGTAGAAAAATATTTGTGGGGTGGATGATACGAGTATTTGACTGTTGATGGGAGAATGACCCGTACACAGAATTGCGACGAAAAGCTGGTGGCTTTGACGGTAGAAAAGGCAGAACAAGAGAGTTTTCGAGCAACGAAACGGATCAAGTGCATTCAGTTGCTAAATTATGAGATCTGATACCACTTTGTTGGCTTTCAGTGCTTTGCGCTTGACGACAACTTTGATGTGGCTCTTTCTTTTTATGTTATTCCGTTATTCCGTCCAAATGATTGAACCTGTTTTTCCCAAAGCAAGAAGTGTTGGCCTGGTTCGGACAAACGAGATGTGGATGTCAATCGGCCTTCTCATCGGCGGCAATTGAATTAGACCGTTGGATTAGTGTTCGGGGTATCGTTTCTCTGCTTTCTGACTTTGTGAGAGGTATCGTACATGGATGATATGTAGCTAGTACCAGTAGTATGCATAGACTAAAACCCAAGCTACCCAACAACCCAACCCAACTTGCGTAATTGTACGAGTACGGGTGCCGGTACGGTAACAACTAGTCAAAGGCCTCTGACCTTTGCACCCTCAGCATGCCACTCCCGATCCCTTCCGTGAGTCTCCTTCTATGGCACACTCACCGATCCAATGGTACCGGTGCGTGTACGTCCTCACGCAATGCTCCCATGCATTGGTTGAATGTCAATGGTGGTCAAGCTGGTAACACGATGACGAGCCGATGAGCCGCAACAGGTTGCACGGAATCCATCCTTCCATCTCAGAGGATCCACCAAGAGATTCCCCTCTGCCGAATGGTACCTGGCACTTCTGGGCTTTTTGCTTGCTGACACCTCTGATCTGCTCGGAGCTAGTGGCCAAGTTTTCAGCCGCACCCGACACGACCATCAGAATTTCTTTCCAAGCCAGCTTCTTTGCCACTGCAATTTCCAGTACGTTTCAGTCTTGCTTCCGCTCGGCATGTTTCTAGAAAATTCCAGAAGAGTCTCGGTTGAGTGACTCAGTCAAGTCGGAGTGAGAGTCTATGATCAGTCTCAGCAGCTCCATCAGCCCGATGCGTCACTTCACGGAACTACAAAAATTATTCGGACCTGCATGCACACATGTTAGCGATAAAAGACGGTCTGAAGCAGGCTCGAATAAGCAGGGCACGATCGCACTGCCGCCGACACCACGTGGGTCTCCAATTTGACACCTGCCATCACATTTTGAAGAGCTTTCTTTTTTGGGTGCCAAATTCCCATCAGACAAAGAATTGCAACTGCATGCAGGGAGACGCATCATCATCCGTCAGGCATCAGGTGGGCGGAGTTGATTGCACTCATTCCGGAAAAAGGAAACTAACGCACTCAATCGTTACATATCTCAAGACCACAAAATTCTAAAAAGAATCGAATCCAAGAAAAAGATGACAATGATTCCAATTATCCGCCATGTAATCCTTGCGGGAATGCTGCTTCCAGTCGCCGCTTTCTCCGTTGTACCCAACAAGGTGGTAGTTTCGATACCCAAATCGGCTACCGCAAAGAAAGTTGGTGGCCTGTTTCAGTCCGCTGTACCCCTGGAGGTGGATGTCTTTGAACCTGCCGTAACCGAAGAAGAAACTCAGCAGCTTGACTTTTCCATCGAAAGTGTATCCCGAGGAGGAAATACTCTGCTTCAATCCCCACGACAGACATTAGGGAATCTGTACCAGTCATACCTTCGAGCCATTGAAGAAAGACCATACCTGACAAAATCAGTGACTGCAGCCGTTGTGAATTTCTTCGGCGACATGTTGGCCCAGTTCATTGAAGCAGCCAATGCAGGAGTACCATTTGTTCCGAACTGGGTGCGACTGCAAGGGTTTGCCTTGTGTGGTTTGCTCTTCATTGGGCCCTATGTTCATACTTGGTATCAACAACTATGGAAGGTTGGAAGCTGGATGGAAAAGAAATATGATAGTCCCAAGCAAGTGCAAACAATTGCACAGCTTGTGTTGGACCAAACCATTGGCGTTGTCATCTTCTTCTCCACCTACTTTTACGTGTACGAGATTATTGATGCACTTGTTAGCTTCAGATGTAAGTATCATTCGGCCCGTTCATGGTCTGCCATCTTCCTTTTTCATTTTCTTTTCCTCGCTCATCTTTCGCTGTTTTGCTCTTCTTCAAATAATAGTGCCCATCATGTCGGCTGCTTCCGCCAAAGTTGCCGAGAGCTTTGGACCCGTACTCATGACCAACTACTACTTCTGGCCCGCCATCAACTGGATCAGCTTCAACTATGTTCCAGTACAACTACGTGTCCTCGTAAACAATGTGGTGGGTGTTCTGTGGAATGCCTTTTTGTGCGCCAAGTTGGCGGGCTAAAAACGTACGTGCAATAGGGGATGGAGCGCTGCTATGAATATACCGGTACCACGTCCATAGAGGATAGAGGACAAGCTAGCTAGAAAGTATTGGAAAGGAACTGTAACAGTACATAATAATACACGTAATAACATAACATTGCAAATAATTTCATGTGCCCATGCGGAACACTTGCTGCTCCTGTTATTGGACTTGCGGTACTACTGTACGCTTTTGGATTGTAACTACTGGATGGCTACTTATCGAGCTCCGAAACAATATCAATGCGCCCCAGTGATTGGAGGATCTCATCAAAGGTTTCTCCTACAGCGTCTTTTAGGATGGGTGCATTCATGGCTGCAAGGTGATTCTCAAATACCGCTTCCCACCCTTTCTCTCCGTCTAGGTTCCCTTCTGAATCTACCCATATTCCCATGAGAGGCTCCAACGTGGCTCGACGCGCATCAGTCCATTGGTTCACGAACCATCTAGAAGATGGCTGGATCCGTTGGTACTGGTCTCCCCACACGAGATCCGCTTCGTTGGTTGTCAAGCAGTGGGCATCATAGGTAGCATTTCGGCCGAACAAGAATGAGTGACAACATTTGGTGGCAATATTGAATACTTTGGTTTCTGGCGTCAACTTGTAGGCAAACAGTTGCTCTCGTCCCCTGACAATTGTGACACGGTTGTCCCATTTCATGTTGACAATGGGTTTCCCGCTGTTGCTGGTATCTTCGGGTGACGATGAACCTCTTCTTCTTCGATCCGCGAGAAACCCAACTCGATTGAAACAGGAATCACAGCAGCACTCGGTAGAAACTCTAGGCTTGTTGCTGGTGAATTGAATCACCACCTTTCCGCATTGGCATGTTGCTGAAGCCATCGTCCATGCCCATCGCACTTGATGGTTTGCTCGAGCTGATACGGTACCGATGGTGGTACCGGTAACTACTGGTACCGTGCCACCGAAGCTCCTACCGACTACAACTGTACGGTACTAGCTAGCTGGCTAGTAATAGTATTTTAAAAAGTAGTGGTGGCGATGTGGCGATCTTGCAAGTCTGAAACAGCGATTGTGCCAAAGTCGTACCTCTAACTCTAACGAGAGTACCGTTATCGTCATTTGTCAGAAAGGTATTTTCGTATGACGGACAGACGACTCGGGATCCACAATCACGGTTCGTGATTGGGGATGTGTGACTCAAATCAGATGGTTATCCGATCATCATCAGATGGCCAGGTGTTCCCACTTTACTAAACCTATGGACCTTCATCGTCCTTCATTTTGCTCCATCCCTCGCTCCTTGCATTCATCTCTTCGACCTAACTTCCTAGACCTTTGTAGTTGCATACATCTAGACGACCATTGTCCTCGTTCCTCGT